CTGACAAACCCTACATTATATGCTTCATATTGTCACATTATATTTTTATTATGATATAGTTATTACATTCTGTTGCATTTTAGATCTCATTCTGATGCATTCTGCATGCTGGCCAGATGTGAATGCCACAATGGCTGAAAACAAAATAACAAAAGTAATTTTCTGCACATTGGGCGCCATGCATCACATGCAGTCTACAAAGTGAACTCTGGTGGTGTCCAATTGTGAATGTTCCCACTGATAAAGAGATGCCCCTGAGGACTACAAGACCTGCTTAAAAGCAGGATCTAAGAACTACCAGAACACAGTTGCAGTGCAGCCACTGGCCGTCACACAGGCACAGCTGCTGCTGCCACCACCATTACCTTGTCATTATGATAACAGAGTTGCATCTTGGCTGTCATGCAGAGCACTACTACCATCACCGTCTTCATCGCCACCACTCAATATGACTGCACATCTCAACGACCATTACCATTTCTTAGCCTGACCAACCACCTTGGCTATCCAGCTCAGACTCAGAACATCTGAACCTTGATTCTGTACAGCTACAAACCTTCGTTGATACCAACTCTGCCATCACTTCAGCCTTCCCCTACTCGTTTACAAAGCATTCCTTTCAGGGTTGACACTAGTGAACTCCACAGAACAGGCTTGTTTTGTTTTGTGGCATATTAACCTCAATGGGTTATTTAATGCTGACAAGATTTTTATTTCTGGTAATATTTTCTTTTTTCAAATATTTATTGCTGATACTAAGTTTTTTTTTTTTTAAAGTATTTCTGGTATTAAAATTTATTTTTACATTTTCATAGTGTTTTGAGTCAGGTTCTGGGGTCACTTATTTGCCCATAGCTGGGACCCTAACAGGTGCTACCACCCCAGGTCAGGGTAGACCTGGGAATAACAGCAATTAAGAGGTGGTTCCATGTTCCTCAAAACCTCCTGATAAGAGGCCTTGCTGCTGGACGTAGTTTATCATCTAACCCAGGACGCAGATGTAGTTTATCATCATACCCAGGATGGCTACAGAACGGGACTACCTTGACTCATTTACAAGGCACTCTAATCCATAGAACAGGCCTACAAACCCCTGCCATCACCTTGGCCTACCTTGGCTCGTTTACAAGGAATTCTCTTCAGTCAACAGCACAACCTCTGTTCCATGGAACAGAGGCTACCAAGACCACACCAAAATGTTGTCACCCTACCAACCGGCAAGAAAACCTAACACCGTGACCTCGATCAAGCAAACTTGCACCGAACATATCCTGTGACCTTGGCCACAAGAAATGGTTCAATTCCCAACACTATACACCAGATTACTGTTCCCGTGCTATCAACCAACAATAAATGTTGTTTCACTCTAATCCCTGTTATTCCTTTCTCTTGCTACCAAATGCTTAATATAAACAATGTTTTATATTGCATACATATATATGAACAATGGGCATGTGGCCAAATGGTTAGAACATTTGCTTTCTAACCACGAGACCCAGGTTCAAATCTCACCATGGTCAATTTGCCAGGAAGGTGACTTCTTCATGTTCTCAGTCTGGAGGAAGCAATCCGAGATTGACATCTTTGGAAAGTGCCTGAAAACCATACCCAAGTTTGACCCAAGCCTTGTTAATGAAATTGGGTAGATGGAACCCTTTGGGGGCCATCAATGTCACAAGTCATCATGACCAGGGTTTTAGGGTGCTGGTCTTGTTTAGGTTGCTGATCATGCTGGATAACACTCTTCTCTCCCAGAAAATCTAACTAATGTTTGCTCAGCATAAATGCAGTATAAACCACAGGTGGGCTTCATGGGTGTTGAACAAATGCAAAATGTGTCTGAACAAATGTCTACAATAGGGATTAGCTAGCCTCCCTAGTAGACAGGTATCCTCAAATATGAGTGATCAGACATTAACATTAATTATATATGAACAATATAGTATATGCTCCATATTGTCATAAAATAGAAAAAAGATTTTAAAATGTAAAGGATCTTTTGTGTGCATGGTTTCTTTGCTTCTAAGGTTCTTCAGTTATTCCTATGTATATTTTTTCTTTGTTATTTGTTAATTTTACAGTGGCTTAGTATATTGCATTGTTCTGCAAGCAATTGCTGTTTAAAGGACATTCATTCTTTGTTCTGCAAAAACTCAACATATATGGCCTGTCAATTTCATATAAGCATGAAACAGACTGTTGCCACTGGGTGTTGACCTCAATGTCCACTTTTATATTTACATAGTCTGTCCCTGATATCAGCACTTTAACCCAGAAATATAGCATACCTTAAAATATATATTATTCATTAGATTTTTTTTATAATCTTTTATCCAGATCTTGATGTCTCAGTGTAGGGTAATGATTAGCAAAGCTAGTCTGCTGAATAATGAGTTTGATCCTCACTAAGTGCATTATGTCAAAACTAAGCTTAGCAACCTTGTGTCTGAAGTTAAATGATTTAAAAATAAAAATAAAAACTGTAATCTTAAAAAAATTATTTTATCCCCATATCAATCACAATTTCCAAATGATTATGTTTATCTGTGTGTATTGTAGACTTTATAAGTAATAGACTGATCACTTGCAGGAAAGTCTTTTTCATCTGCTTAAAAAAACCAAAAAAAAAAAAAAATAACACTTTTTGGTGAATATCCGATCATGAACATCAAGAACTTCTGATTGCTGACTTAGAAATGACAAAAAAAAAAAACAAACATTTTGGTTCCCCAGAAAATCATTTAGAAATCATTTTAAATGAAATTTAAAATCCATGACAGAAAATAAGTTCTTGCACTGTTACAAAGAATCTTCCCCAACGAAAAAAGACAAAACAAAAATCTCTGTATGGTGATATACAAGGATGAATCAATAAGTTTGTAGCATGATCATTATTTAATGAATTTGAATTTTTCAATGTATAATACTCAGTTGATGCATATAGATAAGGAATATTTTATAAAACAAAGAAATATTTCTTGTGCAAGAATTTTTTTTTCGATTATTAGTTCTTGGATTTATTGATTTAGTTGCAGATGGATTGCCAGTTCTGAATCATCTTAATCATCCTGGAATGTTACAAACAATTCAAAAAGCAAGTCATAAGTCTAAATATTAATGAGGTCTCTACTCATCACCAAGATCAAATTTAATACAAAAGACAATTTAGATCAATGTAAATACATTGATAATTCTGGATATGAAAAATTTTAGTTGGATTAAATTATTTGAAAATCTTAAAATGCATTATTAAAATGATATTAATAAATAAAATAAAATCATTCAGAAAATGTTTTTAATTAAAATTAGTTACAAAGTTTTAATAATTGTGTTATGACTTTTTTTTTTTTACATGAATTTTTATTTGAAATATTGAAAAATTCTGAGGATTATTTCATATGAAAACGAATTTGAGAAAAGGAAGATAACTCCGATTTTTTGATAAAAGGGAAATAACTCCGATTTCTTTACAAGATTCAATCGAGATCGTTATAATTTAATTTGTGTGTCACTAGGCCAATTGAGGGTTCGAAGATTCTATTGCATGACTTTTTTTTTAAATGAGAAAGGTCTTAAAAATCAAAATTGGAAATTATGGCTTTTAACAGATCTCTAGCATTATAAGATTCAGACAACTACTTGAGCAATATGTAAATGATATAAAAGATTTTGGAAACTTTACTTAATCCGATTTGAAGGGGATTAGAAGATCAATCAAGATTATAAATCAGTGGATGGAAATTTAACAATATCAGATGATACTGCATTGATGATGGATTCAGAAGAAAAGCCGAAATAACTATTAGATAAGGAAGTTTTTTTTTTTAATCATTTCACCCCAAGCAAGGTGACAAAGCCACTAAAACACAAGGGTTTACTGAGTATGAGAGAAACTGAGAAAATGTTAATGTTGATGGTGATTGATTTTATTTAAATTTTGGAAGATTCTAGTTTACAGGCAAGCAATAAATTGGAAGAGAGTTTTAGAGATGAGAAGTTCAAGAGGGGGAAACTATTTACATACACTATCCCAATCTAAGGAAAATCTAAGACAAAATGGAAAAGCTTTTGTGATGTGTTTTGATCTTTAGGACATCAGATTAAAGTGATGTTTATGTTGGTGCAAGTACATATGCACATGAAGGAGAGGGGCATATTGAAATTTTAAATTTGATTTTTTTTTTTTTTTTATTATTAATGTGTTTTGGGTATATAGGCCACAATGTGGGATAGGCTGAAATATTTAAATGATGAATGGATTGTATTACATTTTGAGATGTTAAAGAAAAAAAAAAAAAAAAAAAGAAGAAGAAATTATGAGGTAGGCAGAAGAAATGTTAAGATAAAACAGGAAGAAAAGAAATGCTAATTTGAACAACTCCAACAATAAAGATAATGACTTGCTGGTAATTTTCGGAAAATGAAGGCCAAAGAACATCTTGGCCAAAATGGAAGAAAACAACCATAATGACAATAACTGAATAAAACAACAACAATAATGATAATGCCTCATTTTGGAATGTAAGACAATAAAAAAGGCTGAAAGATTTAAGTGTGAAAACGTAATGATAAAAACAACAAGGATGGAGATGATTGATTGTGTGTGTGTTTGTTTCAATCAATTCATCCCATGTAAGGTGATAATGCCACTAAGACACAAGGGGCTACTTGGAGTGAAAGAGGAGGAAAAAGAAATCCAATCGTATATAGGAAATGGGATAGAACACTATTCATGTTCAAAAAATTCAGGGGGGGAGGGTGTGAACCGGAAAATAGGTGAACCTATCGTATCTTATGAGCTGATTTCAGGATTTATGATAATATTAAGAATCTATGAATTACTCAGCATTCTATTTTTAAAATGTAAACATTCTCCATGAAATTTCTATGGATTTTATGAAAAAAGGAAATGAGAGATTTGGTTAAGGAAAAAAAATGTCCCACAAAACAAATCTTTTTAGTAGAATGTAAGAAAGAAAGAAAGAAAAATAAAATCTGACCTTCGTTTCTGGTGAGTCTTTCTCCCAAATTGAGTAAGATTTGTCGGAGTTCATTGCCAGGAACAGTTCCAGTTTTATTTTTATCATGCGCTTGAAATGCTTGCATAATTTCCTTTTCGTTGTTCTCGGTTTGACAATGTTCATGCAGAATATCAAGGAACAAAGCAAAGTTGATGATGCTATCTTCTGTAAAGAAAAAAAAAAAAGAAAAATCGATGCAAAAAAAGTCAAACATCTTTGAGAGGTTGCTGAAAAATTCTTGTCTCAACATTCTTCCCAAAATTTTATCAAATTCTTTTCAAATCCTTTCCTGATTGGCCTGAGAATCTTTCAGTACACGGCCCTCCTCTATATCCACACATGAATCTAGAAAAGTAAAGACAGAAATATCCCCCTGAAATATTGTTTTACCATTATGTGGTAGGTATTTCTGCTACATGCTGTCTTTATTACCCCTGCTATACTAAACAGTCATTTTATTAAAATAAAACCCTGCTATACTAAACGAAAAGAAAAAAAATCATTTTATAAGATGGGGATAAAGGGCATTATCTATGCTGTTTCGGATCTTATAAAAACATTTTACTTTGCAGATGACACAATCATTTACTCCTGTCTTATCAAATCAACAGATCAGAAAAAAAATGAAAAGGATCTCCAAAGTTTCTGATCTTCATCAATGCTCCCCAACATCAGTTCCCAAAGGGAAGATGAAAAAAGAGTAGCAAAAAAATCATTTCATACTAAGATGGGGATCCCCCGATGATCAGTTCCCAAATAGGTATTTATCCTGAAACAATCATTTATGCTGTTTCAGATCTTCATTGAAAAGGAATCAGTGGTTTCTCCACAGTTAACTAGGTATTTATGCAGATGACACAATCATTTACTCCTGTCTTAGTAGCAAATCCAACAGATCAGATTAAGTAAACTTGGCAACTGCACATGAAAAGGATCTCCAATCAGTGGTTTCTGATCTTCATCAATGATCTCCCCGATGTCATCAGTTCCCAAATAGGTATTTATGCAGATGACACAATCATTTACTCCTGTCTTTGTAGGATCTCCAAAATCAACAGATCAGATTAAGTAAACTTGGCAAATCCAACTGCACATGAAAAAGGATCTCCAATCAGTGGTTTCTGATCTTCATCAATGATGTCCCCGATGTCATCAGTTCCCAAATAGGTATTTATGCAGATGAAACAATCATTTACTCCTGTCTTAGTAGCAAATCCAACAGATCAGATTAAGTAAACTTGGCAACTGCACATGAAAAGGATCTCCAATCAGTGGTTTCTGATCTTCATGGTTTCTGATCTTCATCAGATGATCTCCCCAATGTCATCAGGTTCCCAATCATGGTTTCATTGATCTTATGCAGATGTCAAGTTCCCAAATCATTTTACTCCTTTCTTAAGGAACTTGGCAACTGCAGAAAAGCAAAATCCAACAGATCAGATTAAGGACACAATCAACTGTTGTGTCTTAGTAGCAACTGCAATGCAAAAGGATCTCCAATCAGTGGTTTCTGATCTTCATCAATGATCTCCCGATGTCATCAGTTCCCAAATAGGTATTTATGCAGATGACACAATCATTTACTCCTGTCTTTGTAGCAAATCCAACAGATCAGATTAAGTAAACTTGGCAACTGCACATGAAAAGGATCTCCAATCAGTGGTTTCAATGATCTTCATCAGATGACACAATCATTTACTCCTGTCTGATGTCATCAGTTCCCACATGAAAAGGATCTCAATCAGTGGTTTCTGATCTTCATCAGATGTCATCAGTTCCCAAATAGGTATTTATGCAGATGACACAATCATTTACTCCTGTCTTAGTAGCAAATCCAACAGATCAGATTAAGTAAACTTGGCAACTGCACATGAAAAGGATCTCCAATCAGTGGTTTCTGATCTTCATCAATGATGTCCCAGAGATTTATGCAGATGTCATCAGTTCCCAAATAGGATCTTATTTATGCAGATGACACAGATCATTTACTCCTGTCTTAGTAGCAAATCCAACAGATCAGATTAAGTAAACTTGGCAACTGCACATGAAAAGGATCTCCAATCAGTGGTTTCTGATCTTCATCAATGATCTCCCCGATGTCATCAGTTCCCAACTAGGTATTTATGCAGATGACACAATCATTTACTCCTGTCTTAGTAGCAAATCCAACAGATCAGATTAAGTAAACTTGGCAACTGCACATGAAAAGGATCTCCAATCAGTGGTTTCTGATCTTCATCAATGATCTCCCCGATGTCATCAGTTCCCCAATTTAGGTATTTTATGCAGATCCAACAGATCAATCATTTACAGTGGTTTCTGATCTTCCTGTCTTAGTAGCAAATCCAACAGATCAGATTAGTAGCAAATCAACAATCAGATAAACTGCATGAAAACGATCTCCCAATCAGTGGTTTCAACTGTTCCCAACTAGGTATTTATGCAGATGAAAAGGATCTCCAATCAGTGGTTTCTGATCTTCATCAATGATCTCCCTGATGTCATCAGTTCCCAACTAGGTATTTATGCAGATGACACAATCATTTACTCCTGTCTTAGTAGCAAATCCAACAGATCAGATTAAGGAAACTTGGCAACTGCACATGAAAAGGATCTCCAATCAGTGGTTTCTGATCTTCATCAATGATCTCCCTGATGTCATCAGCTCCCAATTAGGTATTTATGCAGTTGACACAATCATTTACTCCTGTCTTGGTAGCAAATCCGACACATCCAACAAAGTAAACCTGGCAGTTGCTCATAAAAAGGATCTCCAATCAGTGATTAACAGGGGCAAGGAATGGCTTGTAAATTTTAACTCCAAAATAAAACTGCTTTCTCTTAATTGGCACAGGACTTTTTCTGCCTGCCTTCAGCATGCTCTGGATCTCAATCAGTGATTCAAGTTCAAGAGGACTTTTCTGCCTTCAGCATGTCTGGTGCTCAAGTTCAAGAGAGTAACACACTAAATATTCTTGGCCTCACATTTTCCACTGACATGAAATGGGGTGACTATATTGAACCAATTACTATGTCTACTCCAAGCAAAGTTGGTTCACTGTGTTATGCCAGAAGAATTTTCTCATCAGAATTCATCTTACACATTTATCTACCATTCGTCTTTGCATTGAATATTGCTGCCATATCTGGTCAAGTGCCCCTACTATGCATCTTGAAATTCTTGCATAAAATGCATATAAGGAACTGTAATGTTTTATGTTTTGCATATCTTTCTGTATAGTAGTAGTCATAATACAGTTTTATATCCTGAATAGCAACTGGGTTTGCTAGGCATAACCCCTATGTTCACCACTTGTTCTCTATTTATATTTGTCTATCTAATTTGCATACGATACTACATAATGTAATTGATCCTGACTTTCTCACTGTGACATAGCTTCCCTCTGTCATTTCTACAAATATTTACATAGCAACTTTTTTCATTAGTGCCTTGACTGCATGAATGTAAGTGTGCTACTAGATTGGCAGTTAGGTCTCACTGTTGAACTTGCTAGATGTAACTGCCTGTTCTAACAGTTCCTTTTCTCTCACTTCTCACATGTGGAAGTCCCTTTTGATTTCTTGCTTCCTTGCCAACTACAAACTTAAAAAAATTAAATGCAATGTCAATTGACATCTTATGTCTTCCTGAATCCTGTTCCTTTATTGTTCTTTTCCTCATTAAAGTCTTATTCACTTTCACTCCCTGTAACCTGTTGCATCGTGGTGGTTTTATCACCTTGTATGGGGTGAAGTGGTTAAAATTCTTCATATAAGAAATTTGTTCAGCAGACAATTTTGAAATCTAACAGAAAATAGCTATAAAAAAAAAAATATTATTTCTGGATCATATTTGTGGTAAGTTTTCAAGCTCAGATAAAACCCTTAATTTTAAAATCTGGATTTAGACTATTCTCACTTGAAAACTTGGTTCAATACAATCATCTTGCCTTTATATTTCTCATTGAATAGCTGAGATAACATAGCAAATTCTGTAAATTATTATCTGTAATTAATAACTTAACATTCTGGAGATGATTTTGCTTGCAAAGCAAAAATTTTATCCTGCTACTGCAAGTGACTCAAATGAATGAATAATAACATGTTTGAATTTTGCAGTTGTGTTGTCATATTCTGCTATGGTAACAGACAATGACCATGACTGAAATTAAGTAGCCTTGAAAAACAATGAAGTGGAAAAGAAAGTAGGGAATAATACAGAGGGTTAAAGGTAAACAACACAAAAAGAGCATATCCCCATTTTAAAGATGGTTCAGCATAATCTTCCTCATAGTCCCTCACTTGTCATAATCTAAGTCAATGTTGATAATGTTTAGAAAATGAATAACCAGTGAAAAAAAATGGTGAAAAATAATGAAAGATTGCCATATTAAATAATGAAACATTATCATTCAAACTTTTTCTTGTCTAAATGAAATATTGGTGAGCTTTAAGGATGTTTTTCAGGATTTACTTTTTATATATATATATATATATATATATATATATAAACAAAAAAACAAGAAATTGTGGAGAAGCATGATTACCTATATCCTAAATGGACACATACAGAAGATAAACAAAAAATGGAGAGAGGTCAAAGGCAATTAACCTGGAAATGTTAATAAAAATTAGTCACATTTTCTTCTTTCTAAATCAATATTGATAAGCTTTAAGAATGTTTTTCAGATCTGTCATATATAAATTACTTGCAATAAAAGTCATTTTTTTAAGACATTAGAAAATAAAAAAAAAAAAATCAAATAACCTGTTACCTCGAGATCTTATGTAAACAATTAAAAAAAAAAAAAATGACAAGTCTTTTACAAGAATACAACTCTAGAAATTTTAATTTTTCAATACGAATTTTGCTCAAATATCAAAAGCTGATAATCCCTCCCGATATATTTTAACATTGATATTTTTGGTTCAATAAACTTGAAATTTAATTTTTCAAGCATTTAACACTGCCCGATTAAAATCTTTTCCTCCAAGACATGGGAGGGGGAGTAATAGACTTTACCTTTCTGAACCATGACATGTTGCCAAGCTGTTTTAGATTTAGAGTTGTCCTTCTCTTCAACTGGTTACATTATCAAGGCTAGACAGCCTAGTCTATGCTATTATTTTACCCAGAGAGACTGAGTTGTAGGTGGCTTGAGAGG